AGGCGCCATTGCTAATGGGTTGGAGGCCATCGCCAGGTTGGAGGCCATCGCTATTAGGTTGGAGGCCATCTCTATTAGGTTGGAGGCCATCACTAGTAGGTCGGAGGCCATCGCTAGTAGGTTGGAGGCAATCGCTAGTAGGTTGGAGGCCATCGCTAGTATGTTGGAGGCCATCGCTATTGGGTTGGAGGTCATTGCAAAAAGGTTGGAGGCCATTGCTAATAGATGCTAATAGGTTGGAGGCCATCGCTATTGGGTTGGAGGTCATCGCTAACAGGTCGGAGTGCAATGCTTCACAGCTGCCGGTTGAATCAGCAGAGCCCCTTCCCCAGCTGCAATCAGGCCATCGAAGTGAGGTCAATCCGCAGCTTTGTAGCATTGCACAAATGACTTGCACAATCACCTTGCTAATGCAAATGATGAGTTGCAATTAATATGACTTGCATTTTCTGCATCACCAAGTCACCCAAAATGGCCTCCGCCAGCAATGATTTACATACGGTCTACCTAGCCTACCGTGTCCCAACCAGAGTCAAGCAAGAGTGTTACACAAGAGCGCCCTACAAAAGGGCCGAGAGTGGCAAACAAGTGTGGAATACAGGAGTGTTACGGAAGAGGTCTGAGACATCAATTTGAAGATGCTTTGTGTTCGGTTCGTGTGTTCAACCTGGTGTGCGTCTCCACAATTTCCCTGTTGAGGCTGGCTGGACTGATAACACCAAGTGCCCCAAGTGTTGGGTCAGTCTCCCTTGGGTCAGATGAATTGAGTTTTTAAAGCTCCGTTCGTAGCGTCCTTGTTCCTAGTAGTATGGCCAGGAGCCCCTAGTAGCGTCCTTGCTTCGTTCGTAGCGATGCCCTTAGCTCCTAGTAGCGTCCTCCTAGGGGCCAAGGAACAGATTACCTAGGGGCCAAGGAACAGATTAGTTTGAGTCAACTTTGTGTCAATTAGTAGCGTTCTTTTGGCAAAGTTCTGAAGAAACATCCCTTGTCCTGCTCCTTTAAATGTTTTTTAAAATTTTTACTCCTTCTTGCCTTGCCTTTCTATTGTCTCCGTAGCATTCCGAATCTCAACCCGGGTTTCAAAATCCACAGCCCCAGACTCCAACACCTCCCAATGCAACTTTGTAAACTTACCAAAGGCCGCAGGTCAAAAGACAGTGTTGACGTTGGGAGTTGTTCTGATGGCCTTTTGACCTCACTTGGTATGGCAGAGCAATCTCGAGTCAGCCGGAATTAAATGGAGTTGGTGTAAAAGCATCCAGTAGCACTGTTCTCAAACTTTCCCAAGTCATCAAAGGTTCTGGCACACGCTACGACTCCATGAGCCTGAGCCACATTCAGAAGGCCCTTCAAGGCTAAGAATGTTTGACAATGGGCCATCGCTTCTAGGTTGGAGGCCATCGCTAGTAACTGTTACTAGGGTGGAAGCCATTGCTAGTAGGTTGGAAGCCATTACGAGTATATAGGTTGGAGGCCATGGCTATTAGGTTCCGTTGCGATCCGCGAGGCACAATTCGATGCAAAGCAACTCGCCTGCCCTGCCATGACGCGGCTTTTGACTACGTCGGCAGGGGTGGCACAAATTGACCTGATGTCATGCCCCCTCTCTGTGTGGCACGGTGTGCAAGAAAAGGGTGCCGACGTTATGTCATTCCCCAGTCATTGAGGAGCAAACGCCACAAATCCACTGCAGAATGCACTCAGAGTATGAACGGCTAATCCTGAGCACATCGGTCAGACCCCTGCAACACATGTTCCGCAATTTTCGTTGCTGGCCGTCGTCCAAACCACTGCGCTTGAGGATCAACTTCTTTGCCTGGTCGTAGGTTGACAACCTAGGCAACTCCAACTTCAGCCCGATTACTGAATGATACTTACGAGGAATATGTGATAATATGAAATTATATCATATGTGGAAAGGGCTAGGAATGGTTGGAAAATGTTGGAAAGGGTTCAGGTCAAGAACATCTTCAATTCAATCAAGCTCTTGACTCTCCGAGGTTCACCAATGCTGCGCGCTGCACGTTGACAACCACACCACGGTAGAGACCCTGGCAGTGCATTCCACACATTTTCGCAAGGTCTTCCAGAGCTGTGCTCTCGGCCTTCACACCTTCTTCTCGCAAGATTCGTTGCAGCAAGGAGACCTTTGAAGAGAAGAACATGCCACTCTGGAGGCCAATCCTTCGCTGCATCTGGCGCACCATCCCATCCCCGGCCACCTTCATGTACAAGCATGACCTTGCCAAAGACACCAGGCATGAAGCAATTGGCTCCGCCGACATGGCAGTCACCCATCCTTCAAGCGGTCAGCAGGTGAAGCCACTGCCTGGCCGGTATCAAGTCAAACCACCATCAAGTCTTTAAACATACGTACCAACTGCACAAGAGAAAATCATTATAAAAAAAGGTCTAAAGAAAACATAGAAACCTTGGATAATTTGAGCATCAGTACTGCACTGCATGCCTGCGCAATGCCCCCCACCCAGCAGGCCAGCCAAAGCACTGCTGGCTGAATTGGAGAAATGACCTGGGAGTCCGGGGGAGGGGAAGAACCTGACCGTTGACTCCGTTGACCCCCGGTTTTCCAACGTTAGTAGACGTCACTTGGCAATGCACGAGTCAAACGCTTGCGAAGATCCTGGGCAGCATCGAGCAGAACTGCCAGAAGGAGGCTAGGTAGGCAGGATAGAAGTGACATCACCGTAGACCCCAAACAGTTTGTGTTTTTTCAATATCGGAACACTCTGCAACTAGAGCTTGCGACGTCCAGAGCTAGGAGACAAAGGATTGCAAGGCAGAGGCGGCCACAGCAGTCCAGAGCTGGGAGACAAATGTAGACACAGGGAGACAACTGTAAAGGATTGCAAGGGACATGCAGCCCAGAGCTGGGTGACAAATAAAGGATTGCAACGCAGAGGCGGATACAGCAGTCTAGAGCTGGGAGACAAATGCAAAGGCTTGCGAGGGCAC